ACCGCCATCCTCCTCCAACAAAAGGACAACAGGTCAACTAAGAAGACAAGCTCCCTGGTAAGAATGGAGCGTCGTGAGGAATTTTTTATTTTGTGTGGGACTGAAAGTTAATACCCCTGCCTTTTGCAAGTCCTTTTGCCAGTCCTTTTGCCATTTAATCATGCTAATATATTTTCACTAAGGGTTTTTTCTTCATTTATGCTATTGATTTAATACTGTTCTGTATTGATTCCTGAATTCTTGCTAATGGGACACAGTAATTCGTGGCCATTTAATACTTTAACATCTGTTCTTCTTCAATGACAAATTTTATATAGGAAACTATCAAATAAGGAAGCACAAAATTCAAGTAAACATTTTTCTTGGAGACTCTTGCTTAATCTCGCTGACTAGAACTCTGAAAGCAAATTGCACCTTAAAAAGAAATACAGTAGATACCATGGTGTCAGGGTAGTGAAGGATTTAGCAACCAATTCACAAAATAGAATTTTAAGAATGTAGACGGCTGTCAAACAGCAAAAGCAACCCCAAAGAAGTATTTTGTTTCAAGCACAAAATAGCTTCCAGTCCCAATCCTTGCAACCCCTTAAGTATATTGTCTAACCAGCCTGCTTTAGCCTACAATTCTGATGATCCACAGTGATCATCTGCTCCGGGGAAGAGGCAGAAACTTCGCCTTATTTACAAGAAGTCTTACTTTAGGTAAGGACCACTGTGTTAGGATGTGCATTGACTTAATAAGCTTTCTCGGAGTATCAAGGGCTCAGTAAAAAGTATACATCATCATCACGCATTGTCTTGTCGGACAGTATCCGATTGGTTTTCAGATTGAACTACGTAAAAAAAGTGAACATAAAAAGGTACAAAAGGCGTCTTTGTCACTATTTACCACTCTCAGACGAGAAACGCTTTCGTGAAACTCAGCCACACTTGGTGGAACACCTGGCGCTTGAGATCAGTAACGTTTAATATTGTGCAACGTCAGATTAAGAAGCGAGGTTTTAATTCCACGCCTCGAAAGCGAGCTCCGCGTCGGGGATTAAAGTGCCTACCCCCAACGTCCTCTCGCCACGCCGCTGGCTC